CAAGTGTGTGTGTGTGTGTGTGTGTGTGTGTGTGTGTGTGTGTGTGTGAGTGCATGGATATGAGCATGAGTAGGTGTGCATCTGTGTCTTACATGTCTTTATAGTGAGCATGTGTGATTATAAGTTTGTGGAATTATATAGGAAAATGACGTGAGCACACATAAGAGCTAGTCTACTGATGTTGATAAGGTAATATTTTATTAGATTCTCCCATATCCCATAGCAGCCAGATACCATTAGCAATTTACAAGAATGTGTGCACCCCAATTACCACTTTGATGGCTGGGGACAAGACTCGAACAAACTCCAAACTTCATGATTCATGATGACTTTTTTGTTGTTGCAGTCTTGAATCAAGCCATCGTTTGAAGAGAGCAGATTTAAAACTTGAACAATGAATAAGAATTCTGCGCGATCAGTCATTTTATGTTACTCTTCTATTTTGTTTGCAGTAGCAAATTCAGAAATTCTTTTAAAATGTCTAAAATTATCGAGTGTAACATGTTTATTTTCATAAAACAAAAAATTATTCTCACTGAGTGCTACTATTAGTAAGTATGGCTTACAACTTTCCTCAGCCTATTTATTGTATAGATCTACAAATCTGCTTGAATTCAAGTCGATACTGGTACCATGATGTGCCACATAATAAATGTACCAGCACACGCCTATGTTATATGAAGCTGAAACATTTTCTGACTTTCAAAAGGTTTTATGCACTTAGATAAATGAAGCGTCACAAATACAAGGCAGTGATGGGATTATATCACAAAGGATATCCTCACTACTCATCTGAAAAAGTGTTTTTTAAAAGAAACAACAATGGCTACCCAAAAAAAAATATTTGCAACATGATGGCAAAAGTAGATCATTGTATCATTGTGTAACATCTGGGCAAGTTCATGCTGCAAAGAGAGGTGAAAGGAAACTACAGGAGAGAAAATACAACTGAGTTGGGAAAGGGGGGAGTGGGAAGGGGGAGAGGAAGAGATGCAATATATGGGTATGAGTCAGGCATGGATAAAAAGCAAATGCAGGAAAACAAAAGGCTGACGACATGTGACAATTTATATATAATGTTAACCATAGGTCTGTCTGTCACACAAAATGTCAGCCTGTCTCCATTTAGTGCAATTATTATGCAAGTTTAGATCTAGTACGCATAGAATTTAGCAAGGTTTTAGATTGGCCTGCCTGAATTGCCAGTGTTTGTAGAGTGAAGCGTTGTGTCTTGGAGAAGTGAGAGAGATTTTAGACACATCTTATCACGAAGATAATAAGAATGAGTAAGATGATAAAAGCATACCAAACACTCAAGTGGATACGAATGTGTTTGTGTATGCGTGTGAGTGTGTGTGTGAGTGAGTGTGTATGTGTTCAAGTGCGTGTGCATGTGTGTGTGTGTGTGTGTGTGTGTGTGTAAGTGTGTGTGTGTAGTAAATTGTGTGTGAGTTTGAATAGTGTCATTACCTGCATGTGAACTCATTCACCAAACCTATTAAAGCATCATGTCTTACTGAATGTGTTTTTATATATA